CTGCCTCCCTAACCTGTTCTTCCTCCCACCTATCCCCTCCTCCCACCTCAAGCCGCACCTCCATCTCCTACCGACCAACCTCATCCCGCCCCCTTGACCTGTCCGTCCTCCCTGGACTGACCTATCCCCTTCCTAACTCCCTACCTACACTCGCCTTTCCTGGCCCCATCCCCGCCTCTTCGACCTGTTTGTTTCCTCTCCACCTATCCTCTCCTCTATCCCTCTTCTATCCGCCTCCCACTCTCTCCCTATTTATTTCAAAACCCCCTTCCCCTCCCCCTTTTCTGATGAAGGGTCTAGGCCCGAAACGTCAGCCTCTCTGCTCCTATGATGCTGCTTGGCCTGCTGTGTTCATCTAGCCCTGCACTTTAGATTCTGCCAGTTTTTCCAAATCCTTCATGATGACAAAATGCTGGGGAAATTAAAACCTCTGGGTCTGTCTCCCAACAATTTTGTTTGTAGATTCTTGAATGTGCTTACCCAATATTTCTCCATTCCATCTCTTAAATAATTGTCAAATGATGCCTCTCATATACCTGACCGAAGGATTTTAATCCTGTATACTAAGCACATATGCAGCTGTGTTGTCTGGGATTGTAGAAAGTGCACAGATCTTCTTTGTGACAGGGAACTGGCAGATTCATCGCCAAAAAAACCCCACAACATGACATAAGAACTATTCTTCCTAATAAACAGTTGGGCTAAGTGAGTAACAAGATTTTAGTTGGTCAGAGAACTTGCTGGTAGTAGGAGTTCAGGCTAGAACTCTCAATAGCCCAGAGGAATAGCAGGACTCTTGGTGAGTGTAAAGTGTGATAGTTGGGCCATAATGTGTCCAAGGAAATCACACTTAGAGAAAGTGTAAGGACCAATGAACCTGTAAAGTAGAGGGACGTAGAACAATTGGCCCCATGTTACAAAACCAGGGACATCTGGATTGTACTGAATGCCCCGGTTGCCTCCGAGTTGCCAGGACGGAGGAGAACATTGAACAAGTAGCAAAACTTCTGGAGAGTGAGAGAACGCAACCTAAGCTCGTCATCCATGTTTGAATCTGTAACAGAGGTAGAGGTACATCTGAGGATTTGTAGAGCAGGATTTCCCAAACTGAGGGTTGGGACCTCAAATAGGGTCATGAGCCAAAGTAGTGTGGTCACGAGCTCAATGGCAGCAATGCCCTATCCTCCTTTCTCTCCTGTCATGCTGAATGACTCCCAAAATAGTCTGTTCTCATTCCAACAGAAGAGAAGTGTTGATTGATTTATACAGTGGGCAAATAGCAGATAAAAATTAGAGAACAATTAGGAAATAGCAATCACAACATGGTTGCCAAAGGAATAGAAATAGGCAATAGAGAATTAGAGGATAAGGATGCTGAACAGGAAAGGATAGTAAGGCAATGGGATTAGTTTGCAATTGATACAGGGCTGCAGGGAGGGAGTAGGGTATTGGAATTAGTCTGAGATTGATACTAGACTTTGGGGAGACAGTTGTGGGATTAGTTTGGGATTGATACAAGGCTATGAGGAGATAGTGTGACAGTGGGATAAGTTTGATACTGATACACGGCTATGGGGACGGAGTAGGGCAGTGGGATTAGTTTGGGATTGATACAGGGTTATGGTGAGGGAGTGGGACAGTGCAATTAGTTTGGGGATTGATACAAGCTATGGGGAGATAGTGGGGCAGGGGGATAAGTTTGGTATTGATACAGAGCTATGCTTAATAGTGGGACAGTGGGATAGGTTAGGTATTGATATAGGACTTTGGTTAATAGTGGGGCAGTGGGATTAGTTTGGGATTGATACAGAGCTATAGCTAATAGTGGGGCAGTGGGATAAGTTAGGTATTGATGTAGGGTTTTGATTAATAGTGGGGCAGTGGGATTAGTTTGGGATTGATACAGGGCTATGGTTAATAGTGGGGCAGTGGGATAAGTTAGGTATTGATATAGGGCTTTCGTTAATAGTGGGGCAGTGGGATAAGTTAGGTATTGATTCAGGGCTATGGAGAAAGAGTGGGGCAGTGGGATTAGTTTGGGATTGAAACAGGGCTATGGAGAAAGAGTGGGGCAGTGGGATTAGTTTGGGATTGTTGTAAGTCTGTGGGTAGAAAGTGGAGCAATGGAGGCTTGTTTTGGAATTACCCACCAGAGAATCAGAATCAACATAATGTGCCATTAACCTCTTTCTGTGCTTCATATTCCTGAAATTCTTGAGTTTCTCAAACTATAGGCAGTTGGATTAACCCAATCACCATTTGCCTTTCAGAGATAATTAAGAGATTGGGAATATTTACATAACAATTTCCTGTTTTTAAAAAAATTATCAAAAGTGATAACTCTGTTATAAAAGCACATATTTTGTTCCTAATATGAATGTTGTCTATACACGCTTCAAAAGTTAAAATGGCACAATTACTTCCTAACATTTTAACATTTGAAATAACTGTCGACAATATGTTCAAGGTTATTGTTTAAAGTTAAGTTTGTAATTAGTGGAGAATGTTAAGGTTCAGGTTGGGATTGATAGGTGTGATTGAGGCAGCACTTCCCAAACAATTTCCATTGTGAACACATTTTGTGGCTTGAAAGTTGCTGTGACCCCAGAGCTGAGTGAGTAGAGCTGGGGAGCAGTGTGGGGAGGTGTGAGACCAGAGTGTAGAGATAGAGACTTCGAAATTTTACAGCACAAGAAATGCACATCAGCCCAGCTTGTCCATGCTGATCGTCAAACATTTTCCTATTCTAATCCCATTTTCCAGCATGTGTGACCTGGTGTGGAGGAGGAGAGGAGTGGGAATGGCAAGGGGTTTTTGGAGACATGTGGGAGAGGTAGTGTTGGGGTGTGGAGAGGGAGCTGTACAGACTGCTCAGTTTTTAAATAAAATGCACCCAGCTTTCCACTGGATTTTTGGAACAGGAATCAGGCCTCACAGATTAGCCAGTTAGGCGATGGTCAGTATAAGATAAACACAGGAATTTTAAGGGGTCTTATTTGGAAGTCTACAACAGCCATTGTCTGAGATCTTGGTTAGGTTTGCAACTGCACTGGAGGTCACAATGCAGAATATGAAGCGCTTGACCAAAGATTGGAGTTGAGATCAGGTATTGTTGTGGAGTTCGGGGTGTCATGGTTAGTGTCAGAAACTGCTAAGGCTAACTCTGCATTTGGTAGCACTGTCCTTTTGCATAGTTCCCTGGTTTGTGTTGCTGCATTTGCATTAGGAATTTCAGTTATAGTCAGTGTGAACAGAGGGTGCAGCCTTGGTACTGAAGTAAACAAGTCACTGTCACTGAATAGGAGTTTCCTTGGAGCTGTAACTTCATCAGGGGTATGTCAGAAATCCTGATGGATTAAGCAGCTCCTACGCTGGAATTTGAACCTGTGTCCCCAAAGCATTAGTCTGTGTTACAGTTCAGTAATAATACCAATATACTACCATATGTCTCCACCATTCCTTCAGGCAGGACATTTCAGATTTTAACAATGTATTCAATGCATTCTCCTACTTTCAACTCTGTTACATTTGTCAATAGGTGGCATGATGGCTCAGTGGTTAGCACTGCTGCCTCACAGTGCCAGGGACCCAGCTTCAATTCCACCTTTGGACAACTGTCTGTGTGGAGTTTGTGCATTCTGCATGGGTTTCGTCTGGGTGCTCTGGTTTTCTGTCGCACTCTAGACATATACAGGCTAGGTGGACTAGCCTTGGGAAATGTGGTGTTACAGCAATAGGGTGGGATGCTCTTTGGGGTATCAATGTGGACTCATTTGGCTGAATGGCCTGCTTCCACATTGTAGCAATTCTATGATGATCCAAAATCTGTGTCCTCTCGTTAGCAAACCTCCTGCCAGTCGAACGAGGTGCTCTATGCATACATACTATCAAGGTCCTTAAATTTTCAACAGCTTGATCAAACCTCTTTTTAACCTTCTCTGTTTTATGGAGATCACCACCCCTTCCCATGTCAACTCATCACTCCCCAAAGCCAAAGCCCTTTCATTTCCTGGTTCCATTCTGGTAAAACTCCTCTGCACCCTGTCCGAGTCCTTGCCATCCCTTAGAGTCATCTATACCTTCAGTAGAAATCTTGCTAAGTACAGAAGCGACTCACCAGCATAAGTTCTCATGAATTCCCACTAGAGAAAGAAAGCAGAATGTTACAATGTGTAAAGAAACACTGTCTTGGTGACTTGTTTTGCCACAAGCATCAACATTTGTATGATCCAGATTTCCTTATATGGACCAGACAAAGTTGACAGTATATTCACCAACAAAGTAAAACTATTGTGGATGCTGGAAATCTGAGATCAAAACAGAAACTGCTGGAAATATTCAGCAGGTCAGGCAGCATCTGTGGAGAGAGAAACACAGTTAACATTTCAGTTTGATGACCTGTCACCTGAGGTTCTGAACGTAGGTCATTTCACTGAAATGTTCACTCAGTGGTTCCAGTCTTGCCTCAGAAGCAGAAGATTGTGGGGTTCACTTCTGTGTCTAGAACCTTGAGCACTAATTCTAGGCTGAGACTCCCAATGTGATACCAAGGGAGTCCTGCACTGTCAGAGGTGCTGTGTTCTTGATGCGATTTTTACCCAAGGCCCTGTCTGCCCTCCCTCTCAAGTAGGTAAAGATAGACCTCATAATCACGAATCAATGAAGAGTGGGGCAGGGTGGTGGCGAGGTCTTCTCCCTGGTATATGTCCCAACTGAACTCGCAACCAGCTTCACTAAAAGCCATTATGTGCTCACGTCTCTCCTTGCTGTTTGCAGGGGCTCGTTGCATTCTCTTTAAAAGTAGTGAATTGGATGTGAAGCACTTTGAACATCCTGTAGATGTGGACAATGTATTCACATGCAAGCCTGCCCTTTACCTTTTTTTTTGCGATGTGGTCCATGTTCACACTGCCTATTATCAAGGAAGAAATAGCAAGGCATCTTGATAGAAATTGTCCCGTTGGGCAGATGCAGCATGGGTTCATGAAGGGCAGGTCATGCTTGACAAATCTTTTGGAATTCTATGAAGACATTACGAGCGAGTTGGACAATGGGGACCCAGTGGATGTGGTGTACCTAGACTTCCAAAAGGCCTTTGACAAGGTGCCACACAAGAGGCTACTGCATAAGATAAGGATGCATGGCATTAAGCGTAAAGTATTAGCATGGATAGAGGATTGGTTGACTAACAGGAAGCAAAGCGTGGGGATAAATGAGCGCTATTCTAGCTGGCAGTCAGTGACTAATGGTGTGCCTCAGGGATCGGTGTTGGGACTGCAATTATTTACAATTTATATAGATGACTTGGAGCTGGGGACCACGTGTAGGGTGTCAAAGTTTGCAGATGACAGTAAGATGAGTGGCACAGCAAAGTGTGCAGAGGACTGTGAAACTTTGCAGAGGAACATAGATACATTGAGTGAGTGGGCAAAGGTCTGGCAGATGGAATACAATGTAAATAAATGTGAAGTCATACATTTTGGTAGTAGTAATAGTAAAAAGGATTATTACTTGAATGGTAAAAAGTTGCAGCATGCTGCTATGCAGAGGGACCTGGGTGTCCTTGTGCATGAATCACAGAAGGTAGGTCTGCAGGTACAACAAGTAATTAGGAAGGCAAATGGAATTTTGTCCTTCATTGCTAAAGGGATTGAAATTAAAAGCAGAGAGGTTATGTTGCAGCTGTACAAGGTGCTGGTGAGGCCACACCTAGAGTACTGTGGTGCAGTTTTGGTCTCCTTACTTGAGAAAGGATGTACTGGCACTGGAGGGGGTGCAAAGGAGGTTCACTAGGTTGATTCCGGAGTTGAGGGGGTTGGCTTATGAGGAGAGACTGAGTAGATTGGGATTATATTCATTGGAATTCAGAAGATTGATGGGGGATCTTATAGAAACATATAAAATTATGAAGGGAATAGATAAGATAGAAGTAGAGAGGATGTTTCCACTGGCAGGTGAAGCTAGGACAAGAGGGCATAGCCTCAAGATTAGAGGGAGCAGATTTAGGACTGAATTGAGAAGGAATTTCTTCACCCAGAGGGTTGTTAATCCGTGGAATTCCTTGCCCAGTGAAGTAGTTGACGCTACTTCAGTAAACGCTTCTAAAAAAAAGGTAGATTTTTTTTGAACAATAAAGGAATTAAGGGATACGGTGAGAATGCGGGTAAGTGGATCTGAATCCACGAAAAGATCAGCCATGATCTTATTGAATGGCGGAGCAGGCTCGAAGGGCCAGATGGCCTACTCCTGCTCCTAGTTCTTGTGTTCTTGTGTTCTTCCTGCATGCAGTTCTCTCTCTTTGTGATCTCTGGTTCATGTTCACATTGCCTTCCTGCATGCAGTTCTCTCTCTCTGTGATCTCTGGTTCATGTTCACACCGCCTGCCTGCATCTCCCTTGCTGTGCTCTCTGGTTCATCTTTATCCTTCCTGCCTGTGACATGTCTACCAAGAAGACTGCAGATTGTTTGGAGGTTTACTCGTGTTGCCCTCTGGATAGAGTCACTGTCAAAAGGTCCATCCTTTTCCTGGGTCGCTGCACCAGGAGGCCGTCTCATTGGGCCAGTCAAATCTGAACCCAGACTGCAATGAGGGTCATTGTCACTGGTCCCTACAAAAAGGGATGGCAAGCAGTGCAGGTTCGAAGACCCTCATCACACTTTGAGGAAAAGGCTCTCGAGCTGGTGAAGAGCAGCACCATTTCTGTCACCACCGGGAGATGCCGATGGGCTGTAGCCCAATGCACTGCTCTTCCCAGGTGTCCACAAAGGCAAACACATGCCTCTGCAGAAGCTAATCTTCACGACAAATTATTTCTCTTCTCCACTCTAGGCACTAGCGCCACCCAGCACTCCACGCTGCTAAAGAGTTTGCAGCCTCACTTCCTCTGTGAACACTCAGAGGAGGCACTGGCAAGGCACTCCCTGTTCCTGCAATTTCCATCAGCTCAGGGACTTTCATCTTGGTGGGCACCCTGGAGTGGTGAGGGGGCACAATCTGGGGGGCATATCACTGATAGGTAGGTAGGATGAGGAAGGAATGCCCAATTCTGTGGTCCCAGAGGACTGCTGGAGACCAGGACCTGCAGACCCTGTACTTAGAATCATACAGTCATACAGCATGGAAACAGGCCCTTCAGCCCACCATGTCTATGCCAACCAATAAATACCAAACTACACTAATCCCACATACCTGCACTTGATGCATACCCTATTATTCTGATGAAATTCTGATGAAAAGATGTCTACACTGTTAATTACCGGTCCAAATTTTCGACAACAAAATTCATTCAAGTTTAATGTGAAAATGCAGCAACTTCATGCAGCTCTGGGAAGGTTGATAGCTACTTGTCATTAGTGCAAGGTTAATGATGAAACAATGCAAATCACACAGCGATATGGACTCACGGGATGGGTGTGTTGCTGGCAAGATAAGCTTTAATTGCGCATCAGTAATTGCCCTCAGTGCCTTTCTAGGGCCATTTCAGAGAGCAGTTAAGAGTCAACCACATTGCTATGGTTCTGGAGTTACATGTAGGCTAGATTTGGTCATAAGTGACATAGTCAACCTGCAGGGACAGGCAAGGGAACATCAGGCTGGTAGTCCACAGGTCCTCGGTACACTGTAATGGAAGATGGGGCAGTCTCCCTATGGTCTCACAGAATAATGAAGACATGTTCTGGGGAAGAGTCACTGGACCCAAAATATTAACTCAATTTTTTCCTTCACAGAGGCTGCCAGACCTGCTGAGCTTTTCCAACAACTTCTGTTTTTGTTTCTGATTTACAGCATCCACAGTTCTTTCGGTTTTTAATGGAGATTTTATTGCGAGTGGGTACCACGTTATATACAAGATACGTATGCAACAGAGAGAGTGCAAAGGAGATTTATATAAATGGTTCCAGGAATGAGAAACTTCAGTGATGAGGATAGATTGAAGAAGTTGGGACTGTTTTTCCTGGCAAGAAACATGGTGAGAGGGGATCTGTTAGAGGTGTTTAAAATAGGGAGAAGCTGTTTCAGTGAGTAAAAGTATGAAGAAGAGAGAGCATAGACTTCAGCTGATCTGCAAACAAAGCAAGGGTGATGTGAGAAAGAAACCTTTTTTACACAGTGAGTGATTCGGGTATGGAATACACTGCCTGGAAATGAGGTGGAGGCAGGTTCAATTGAGGCGTTCAAGAGGGTACTGGATGGTTTTCTGGATACTGGATATGGAGAAAAGGCAGGAGATTGGCACTAATAGACCCAGGCTCAGAATTAGAGCAGGCAAAGGCATCATGGACTGAATGGCCTCCTTCTGCACCATAATAATCCTGTGATGATTGCAATAAGTACCACTCCATTTGGTCAGGTGTAATTTCTCAGTCTTTGGGGAGCTGGTACAGATCCAGCTGCTCCCTCCAATAGCTAGAGGCCTTGACTGCCTCCATAGAAGGTGTGACACCCACCTTGGACACCCAAATCCAGTAGGACATTTAGTGGCTACTGGTTATACATTCGGAGCTGTCCTCCATCAGTATCGCCTTGGGTGCTCAGCATTAATGGCAATGGTGGGGTTGGCAGCAGGTGGGGGGCGAGGGGCACCTTGACCTTACTCCAGATGACCTTTGGCCTTGAGGTGACGTAGTGGTGCCAAGAGGCAGCAAAAGTGAGCAGGAGTGACAGTCAGGGACCCTGGGAGTTTCTTCTCAGGACATGCCAGAGCCAGCCAATCCCAACTCCTCACCCCTTCTGGTGACACCCATTGCCTCCAGGAGTTGAAAGCGCCCTCAAGGACGGTGAGCTTTCATTTGTGTGGGAGATTCTAAGCAGGCCAGGACCCTCCAGGCCCAACCCCTCCCAAAGGACAGCCCACTTCCAAGTCACCAGGATGTACTGAGTCGGCAAGGTCCCTCCACCCCAGCTGCAGAATTCAAGCCTACAGGGAGCTAGAGTGCGAAGGAGAGAAAAAAGGAAAAGGTTTGTTGCTTCAGTTTAATGAATAGTTATTCACTTGCAGTGATCTAACATCTGTCGTGGACTTTATTGTTATTATGAGGACTGGAGAAGGTTCTGTAAAGTGAAAGGTGAAAATAAAAGTGAAATAGAATCTTCCGCTAGCAGGATTGGGCAGTGTTTCAATCACCACATCTTAGTCCCTGTCTCATAAGCAGCGAAGTGAATGACTTGATGTCATGTCAACTGTGAGGGAGCCAGACACTGCTATAAGTTGGGGATTGGAGTCAAGGTGCTACAATTGAATCTTGGGGACACTAATGATTAGGGAGGAGCCAGGCCTGGGTTGTCAGTTGGTGGTCCCCACACCTACGCCTTATGGGATTGATGGCGGAATCTGCCTTGTATCTACTGGCCCCAGGAGAGAAAGTTCTGTCCCATGCTTGGGCTTCTCAAAGAGATGCTATTATTATTTGGGGTCATGAGGTAGGCAATGGGCTGCTCATTTGTCAACTTACCATCAGTATGATGTCAAAAGGGGGGAATGGATCACATTTTGCAGCCATAGAAGCATTGTCAATAACAATGCTCTGGCATTGCAAGAGTATGTTGAGGTCCCATTGCATTTTACAGCATGGCAGGGGTAATAAAGGTATGAAGCAGCATACACAGACACATACACAGACTCATATAGGCACATACAGACTCACACAGACACGCACACAACCACACACAGGCTCACATAGATGCACAAAGACCTATGTGCGTAAATGTAGACGCAAAGATATATATACAGAGACACACACGCAAAGATATTCACAAATACAATAGATACCAACTCACATAAAAAATAATGCAGACACACAGATATTTACACACACAGACTCATACATTTTCAGAGAGACGCACACATGTATAAACACACGGCAATATACAGGTTCACAAATACACAGCAACACCAACTCACATATTCACACTCAGACTCATATATACCGATACAGACTCACATATACATTAAACATATAGTTTCATAAATACACACAGACTCACATATTCACACACACATGCTCATATTCACACAAGAAGCCTCATAAAGACACATATAAACTCACATATACATGCGCACAGTCACATGTGCATGTACACACACATTAACATCTCCACACATACTGAATCACATATACTCATACAGATTGACAAATGTACAAAAGAGGCAAATACACACAGTCAGTCTCACACATACACACTCAGATACACACATTGCAAGCACAAACTGACATTCACACACAAATACACACACTTATATACACATAATCATCTTCATGGAGGTTGATGTATACAATCAAGCTATTCCTGTCTTTTAGGCAGTATTTGTAAGTAGAGAGGAGATAATCTTTTTGTGGGTTATTCTCAGGAAATGATCATCAGAAATGGGAGTAAAAATTATGCGGTTTGTACAACGGGCTCCACTGCCTCTCCCCGAGCCCACGATGATGCTCATATACTCCAGGAATGACATCCTTTGTGCCCTTCACACTGAGATGGGGAACTTCAGCCACGGAGAGTGACAAGAGAAATCGAGGCTCTGTTCAGCAAAGAATGGGTTAAGAGGAGAGCTGATGTTTGTGATCAAAATGGGAGCGTCGACTAGAATGAACCAGAGTCAACAGAGTCCATAGTAGCTTGGAACTAACAAGAGATTGAATCAAAAAAGAAAAGGAGCATTTAAAGGGCATGAAATAATTGGCTAGCATTCTCAGAGAGACAATTATCACGATGGGCAGAATGGTCTTCTGCACTGCAACATTCATTAATTCAACGTGAGCACAACAATGATTGGATTTTGAACTTTCCCGAAGAGATTTTGCAAACAGCTGAAATTATCTAATGGGATGCACAAATTAAATTAATGAGGAACCCAATTCAAGTCAGATAGGTTAAAAACTAATATGTCAAGGATAAGTTCAAGTTATTGTATATAGATTTACGTGTGGTATCTAACGTCAATTTAATTGTAAATGTAAATATGGGTTTAAGTTTTAATTACAGGAAGATTTAAGAAGCGATCCTAAAAGTAATCAAAAAGTAAAATTTCCCGGTGCCCCAGTGCTACTTGGTTGAGGGGCCTAGATGTACCTCAGGGAGACAATGTCCACTGCTGTTCTGTCTCACTGAGTATTGAGTGTCGGCTGGGGATTGTGGTATGACTCACCGCTCTTCCCGTATCTTCAAACACTTCCCTGGCCTCCTCAAAGTTGCAGTTTTCCTCAAAGCACTCTTGCTCCAGGTTGCCGGGCCTCAGCTCTTCCAGCAGGAAGTTGGCCCGTTTCTGCCTGCCCAATAACAGGGCTCGGGCGGCATGGCTGGGGAGGAAGACTGAGAGGGAGCTTTGAGTTATTACTGAAAATCAGCATCAGGAACAACAAGTTAACAAATTGAAAAGCAGCTGCGTTGTAACTAGGCTGTGCGCTGCCGGCAGAACAAACCTTGTTGATAGGCTTCGGTGGGAAACAATGACCAAAGGACAAGCCCCAGAATCCAAGCCATTGTGAATAAAATGCCTGTGTAAACCCAGTGGCCTCAGTCTCTCTCCTAAAGCTGGACTATGTGCAACAAGGCTTAAAGTCCAATCTCTGGTCATACCAGAACTTGTTTGTTTGTGTGGTCAGTCATTTTGTCCAGTTGATACGTACAGAGACCACAATCGCCTCTTTAGTTTGCGCAATTCTTGGAAAAAGAATAGTAAGGTAGAGGGAATTTGCCTCTTTGGAGAAATTCCCCTCCCCAAGATCCACAAATTGTTTAGAATTCCAACTGTGTGTACCTGCTGGCTCAGAGCTGACTGAACTGTTCCTTGACTTCTAAGCCGAACAACTTTTAAGCAAATCTTGCCAAAATGTGATTTCAGAATTTCTTTTTCATTTCTAGGATATGCCTGTCACAAGCTAGGCCCAAGCATTTATTGACCCTCCCTAATTCACAAAATCAAAGAATTGTTACAGTGGAGGAGGCCATTTGGCCCATCATGCCTACACTAACTGGTTAAATGAACAATGTTGCAAGTGCCAGTCTCCTGCCTTGCATGTTATTTTTATCCAAATAATTATCCAATGCCCTTCTTGAATATCTCAATCGAACCTGCCTCCACCACATTTTCAGGCAGTGCATTCCAGACCCGAACTACTCACTGTTTTTCCTCACCCTTGCATCATTAGTAAATCACTTTAAGTCTATGCTCTCTCAAGTCTTGTTCTTTTTACAAGCAGAAACAGCTTATCTACTCTGTCCAGCACCGGTCGTGATTTTGAAAACCTCTCAGCCTTCCTCTCTCCAAGGAGAACAGTCTCAACTTCTTCAATCTATCCTCATCGCTGACATTTCGCATCCCTGAAATCATTCTTGTAAACCATTTCTGCACTGTCTCCAATGTATTCACATCATACCTATAACGGGACATCTAGAACTGTACACAATACTCCAGCTGAAGTCTAACAAGTGTCTTGTACAAGTTCACCATCACCTCCCTGCTCTTGTTCCTTTATGCCTGTGGCGGATTAGGGTTCCTGAGCCAGAACTCATCCTATCCGATTGCTTTGCCTTCTTCTTTTCTTGCTTTTCTACTTTCCTTTTCTTTTTGTTAAGCTGTTTTTCTCTGCTTACCATCTGGAGGGATCTCAGTTGTGGGAGCAGCATCGGCGACAGCAGCTAGGGGCTCAGACAGGGACTTAAATGGTCAGCCACGAGGAGGTTTGTGTGCCCCGGCAGAACTTTGGCGGTAGCGGCATCGTGTAAGTGGCTGGGGGCCCGGAGAGACACCAGAGTGGGACTCAGGCAGCCTGAGGCAGGGTGGCTGGTGAGCCCAAATGATACTCAGCAATGAGATAGCAGCATGGAGGTGCAGGGATTGGGAGATCGAGCCCAGTGTGCGAGAGAGATTGAACCCAGTGCAGGGGGAGAGAAATCGAGCCCGGTGTGGAGGGAGAGAAATTGAGTCTAGTGCAGGGAAGAAAGACCAAACCCAACATGAAGGGAGAGATCGAGGCCAGTACGGGAAAGAGATCGAGCCAATACAGGAGAGGGAGATCGAGCCCAATGCAGGGGAGTACAGGTTAAGCCCAGTGTGTGGGGAGGGAATTTGAGGCCAGTGGGGATAAGAGATTGAACCCAGTGCAGGAGACGGATCGAGCCTAATGCGGGGAGAAAGATCAAGCCTGGTGCAGGGGAGAGAGATTGAGCTCGTGTGGGGAAAGATCGAGCCCACTTTAGGGGAGAGCAGGGCAGAGATCGAGTCCAGTATGGGAGAGAGATCAAGCCTAGTGCAGGGGAGAGACATTGAGCCCGGTGTGGGAAAAATCGAGCCCATTTTAGGGCAGAGATCGAGCCCAGTGTGGGAGAGAGACCGAACCCAGAGCGGGGAGAGAGATTGAGCCCAAGACGGGGCGAGATTGAACCCAGTGTGGGGAAAGCCCAGCGTGGAGCGACTGCAGGCCCATTGCTAAAGAAGTACTGTAATTTGGAGCTTTTAACTTTAATTCTTACTTACTAATTTATGCAGACAGAAACTGTAATGTTGAACTTTTAACTTATTTCTTTATTTTTTGACTTTTTACCCAAGATTTTATACCTAGGTACCTTATACCTAAGATGTTGCCATAAATGGCGATATTGTAAACTTTTCACTGTACTCCTGTATCCCTGTACTTGAGTACAGGTGACGATAAAACCCAATTCTAATTCTACTAATGCCGAGGATAACTGTATGCTTTATTAACTGCTCTCCAGCTGTCTTCTGCCACCTTCAGTGATCTGTGAATGTGTACACCCAGGTCCCTATGCTCCTGCACCCCCTTTAGAATTGTATCCGCCCATTTTATATTGTCTTTCAGTGTTCTTCTGAACAAAATGCATCACCTCACATTCACTGCATTGAGCCCCATCTGCCAGCTAGCCGCACACTCCACTAACTTGTCAATGTCCTTAGACAGTTCTACACTGACCTCTTCACAGTTTACAAAGCTTCCAAGTTTCATATTATCATTTCAACATTGAAATTGTTCCCTGTATACCAAGTTCCAGATCATTAATCTATATCAGGAAAAGCAAAGTTCTCAATACTGACCCCCGGGGAATGCCACTGCGAACCTTCCTCCAGCCTGAAAAATATCCATTGAACATTACTCTCTGTCTCCTGTCACTCAGCCAGTTTTGTATCCACTGACCCTTTTATACCATGGCCCGTAAACTTTCCTCACAAGTCTGTTGTGTGGCACTGTATCAAACACCTTCTGAAAGTCCATGTTCACCACATCAACAGTGTTACCCTCACTGAGTCTTTCTGCTACCTCTTCAAAAATCTCAAAAAGTTAAATAAGCACGATTTGCTCTTCAAAAATCTCCCAATCAACTCACTTTTTTCCATGCAATGACTAAATCAATCGCAAGTAATTGTTTCTGGAAGCTTCCTTACCATTGAAGTTAAACTGAAGTTCAACCCTTTCTTGAACAAGGCTGTAATGTTTGCAATTTTCCAATCTCTGGCATTTCTCCCAAGTTCAGGAAAGACTGAAAGATTGTGGCCAGTGCTCCTCCAGTTCCCTCTTTCACTTCTTTCAAAATCCTTGGATGCTCCTCATCTGTCCCAGGGCCTTGTTAACCCTAAGTACCAGCAGGATTATCAACATTTCTTCCTTATCAGTTTGGAACTATTCTAGTGACAGAGTTTCCTCCTCTGAAACCATGGTCTGGGCTTTAGTAGAGATAGAAACAAAATCTTCATTTAACATCTCAACTATATCTCCATGTGTAAATCCCAATTTTGTTCTCTAATTAATCTTACTCTTCCTTTAACCACTCCTTTACTATTTTTATGCCCACAGAAGACTTTGTCATTCCCCTTTATGTTGGCTGCCAATCTTTCCTCATAATTTCTCTTTGCTTCTCTTATTTGCTTTTCCACCTCCTCTTGAAACCTTCTGTAATCCTCTTGCTTTTAATTTTATTTTTTACCTGATGCCTTTCATAAGCACACTTTTCATTATCTTCATTTCTATCTATGTCGTCATTTAGAGACATCTGGATTTTATGTCCTGCCTTTCCTATTTATGGGAATATACCTTGACTGTGTGCAAACCATCTCGACTTTGAACTGCTCAGTTAAAGTTTTTTTTGCCAAACCGTCTTTCCAGTCAATCCTGCCCAGCTCCATTTTGGCCCTATTGCAGTCTCTGTTTATTGATGTTTCTCAGGCTGCACTGTTATATTCTCCACCATCACCCTGAACGTTGTAATACAATTATTAATGTCCCCTAAATTCTCCCCCATGACAATTAATGCCTTTGGCCCATGTCATTTCCAAGAACCGGATCCAACAGTGCATCCTTTCTTGTTGGACTGGACGCATACTGTTGTAGGAAACTCTCCTGAATGCAATCCAGGAACATTTGCCTGTCACTGCACCTTACCATATCAGTATTCCCATCTACATTTGGATAAGTGAAGTCTCCCTTTATAACTGCTTTATAATATTGACATCTTTCTATAAGTTCCCTGCAAATTTGTTCCTGTACACAGTTTCCATTCTCTAGATTACACCTAACAATGTAATTGGCGCCTTTTTCTTCCTTAGCTCTAGTCAAATTAATTGAACCCTCTGAGACATCCTTTTTCTCCACCACTGCAATGATCTTCTTAATCACTACTTTCGTTCCATTTCTGTTCTGTTTGAACACCTTGTTGTCAGGAATATTTAATGCCCACAGTTTTGCCAATCTTTAATTACACCTGCAAAGGTAATATTGTTACACCTCATTGGGGTAGCCCACTGGAAATCAGCCCCACTGTTCTCAGGATTATCACTAAAACTAAAAGATTTTTGGAAAATTTGCAGAATTCTTTTAGACCCAGGTTGACAGAAGATGGGTTTCTGTATTTAACACGAATTACTGTTTAATTACTAAAGAAGGCCGACGCAGTTCCTGAGCTGGTGGAGATCTGATCACTTCTCTTTATCTTGTTCACAGCCCCAAGGTGTTTAGCAACCTCTAAACCAATCACATAGTTGTTGGCAGGCAGAAAGCCTTTGTTGTTAATAACTGGTCAGTAGTTCACAGACCAGTCAGCTACCTTTTACCAACCAAAGCTCCATCTGTCCACAACCTTCAACTATTGCTGCAACCAGCAGCTGTGTAAACTGGTCTCACAATGAGTGTCAGGTTCCTTGATTTCAAACTTGCGGCAATCCTCCAGCAATCTTTGGTTTTAAAACAATTCTTTTCACTTTTCTGTCCACATTTAAAATATAGTGAAATAAAAAAAAGCGTTCTCTTTTACAGTGGTGAACAGTCTTTTTGAACCGCTGCAGTCCTTGGGGTGTAGGGCCTCCCATAGTTCTGTCAGGGAGGGAGTTCCAGAATTTTGACCCAGTGACATTGAAGGAACGGTGATGTATTTCCAAGTTGGGACGGTGAATGGCTTGGAGGGGAACTTGCCAATTGTGGTGATGTTTCTACGCATCCACAGCCTTGTCCTTCAAGATGGTAGTGGTCCTGGGTTTGGACCTGCTGTTAGAGGGGTCTTGATGAGTTGCTTGTCGACAATACA